CTAGTTCGTGAACAGAGTAAAAAGAAGTAAGTAAGTAAGAGTGTACACACCTACTACAATCACTTCAGGCTCTAATCTCAAAATCCCTCCCAATACAGCCAGGTAGGTGCACTCAAATCCAAGACTGTTCTCATCAGTACTGTGGAACTCAGAGCTCTGAACATACACCAGAGCAGGTATGTCAAGCAAAAAGCAGTGGGGTGACTGCCCACAATGCGTATCTGGAATTCACTGGCTAAGCAAACATCTTAAGAAATTCCTTTCTAAACATAAAATTAGAATATACAGCAGTCAAACAAGACAAAAAATAGGAAGTCAGGGACAATTAAAGTTCGCTGAAAACAGTGTCTTAGTGTATGAAAAACAATATTCTCTCCCTACTCTGTTGTTCTTACACTTGTGATGGTTTAATCCCAGCTGGCAACTAAAGTACCACACAGTTGCTTGCTTGCTAGCTCACTCCCCCTCCCCTGGGGCGGGCAGGAGAATTGGGAAGAAATGGTAAACCTCGTGGGTTGAGATAAGAACAGCAAATAACCTAACAGCATCCTAACCCAGATAAACCTCACCTTCACGTATCACATCACAGCAATCAAAAGTAGTAGGAAAAAGTAAAGTCCCATACACAGATTCATGCCAGCTCCCAATGGATATTTGTATAAATAGTTGTACTTTCTTTTATGACACTTTGAGGTAACATTAAAAAACAATTAAACTTCATTTACATTTATATTGATTTACTTCAATGTTAAAAGCTCACCATTTCTGTTAATAAAATACTAGAAACAATATTAGCTTACAAACATTGCATATTATGTACTACAGACAGCAAGGACATTTCAGCATCAAACTGGAGTTTTGAAGATATTTACAAATTAACATTTGATAGCTTAACATTGACAAAAAGTTACAAGGTTTATTAAGCATGATATAAGGCATGTGCATATTTGCCACTTTAACTGGCAGTGCAATAAAAGTTTTAACCTATTTTTAGAAAAGAATCTAAGTCCCAGGCACTCTGCTATAATGCACTAAGCAAGCACAGCAGGCTGCTATTCTGGTCACATCATCCACAAAGATAAGTTTTGGGTTTGTTACTGCAAACGAGTTGACTGTCATCACACCTTGTCTCAGTCAAGAGCAAATGGGGGTCTACGTATACGAACTTGGGGTTTTTTCTTGCTTTTCTTTTTTAGTCAAGCATGTGTTTTATATCAACTTTTAAATTGACAGAAAGGATAATGGATGGAAATATTTGTAAGCAACTCAGGTACCAAGAGGAAACAAAATCCTTCCTTAGAACACAGGGCTGTTAACAGGCTAGTCGAGGAGAGGTTCTCTCTTCTGATGTGAGATACCTCAGCAAAGAGGCAAGGTAGCCCCTATTTTACTTCTGACACTCCTCATACCCTCCCCTAAATAACTTTTATTTTAGAACGGGACAGACCGGACAGGAAAACAGCTCCAGAAGGCTCAAAAAGAGTTATTGTAAATAAACAGTATCATTTGCAGTTTACCTGAATCTGATTTATATTGAAGGACTACTCCAAATTAGCTGGCGTTTAGCATTCTTGAGCCAAATACACATGAACATAAAACTCAGACAACAAGATGCTTTATAAAGGTGCAGAGGTCCTCAACACATTATACCCTGTCATCTAGCTAGCTGTGTTAACTCAGGACTAACACCACCATAGGCAGGAGCTGCAGCACCATCTTCCAGTAATATGTGGCGTGAAAAAACTCTCCAGCACACACTGCAGTAACAGGGAGCATATGGGAACACAGATTCCAGACAGAAATTGACATTTGTCTTGCCATTTGTACAGGATAACCACTTTCAGGGCACCTTTTAGGAGTAACCTAATAAAAGCAGAAACATTTAAACTGTCTCAGTTAAGACTACATATCTTGAGCTTTAAGGAAGACATAGTTAACCAATAAGCATTTATTAATGATTTTCAAATTTCTAAACCTAAAAGGTTACAGAGGTGTCAATGTATTTAAAGGAAAATGTCCAGTGTTTCCAACCACACCTGCAAACTCAACTTACCAGTTTGTTTGGATAACGTAAAACCACTGGCTGTACAGGAACTCCAGGAATAAATGCTCCTAGAAGGCACATGTGACACATAATTACTTTATAATGCATTTTGATAAAGAAGAAACTTACTGCAGCAAGAAAAAAATTATACAATTAATGGGCCAATAGGAATTAGTTTAAAGTGAAAAAGCAAGACCTGAAGGTAGTCTCAAAAGTAATCGAAAACGCAAGCACTGGGGAATGACAAGGTATAGCCACTTTTTCAGCAGATAAATAATCAAAATTGCTTGCTTATATTCTACAAATTATCCTCTACCACTTAACTATATTGTTATGTACACCGTAAAAGCTCAGTACCAAATTCAGCTTGATAAATGATTAAAAAAGATGAGAATGTGTAAGATAGTTAAGTCAATTATATTCCCTGTGGTTGATGATATTTATTATTTTGTGAAGAACCTAAGCTTTCGTTTGCAAAAGAACCTTTCTATTTTTATCTGAGCAGCAACAATTTATAGGCAATTTATCATCTCTGAAATGGCAGATTTAAAGTAACTTACAATCTGTAGCTATGGAAAATTTAATAGCTATAAAGTGTTGAATTAGGGCTATTATACAGAGGCATTGCTACATTTAGTATGAAAATTACAGTTCTGATAAATAAGCAGCACAAGATCTATGTCATTTGCTAAGCATTTTCTTGGTTTCTAGTACAAAGATGGGGTAAGCATGATAATTATCTTGCACAAGACTTCTCTAAACATCTTTTTCTCATGAAGAAATTAAGACAGTCTCACTCAAACTATGTTATTTATGACAATTTAGTATGTTTTGTCTAATATTCTGATTTAAATTAAGAACAAAACAATTGAAGTATACTGTATACTTAGCATTACATTTGGTTTACAGAATAATTGTTGAAACATGAAAATAGAAACTGTTAATGGAGTACAAATATCCTTAAATGAAAGTGGTCTGAATAGAATCTGGCAAAGATTTGGTTTGTGGCTAATGGTACTTTCTGTTCAGCCTCGAAGAACAGTCTAAGTAACTTTTTAAATAATCCAAAGCTGACAAAATCTGAGTGATAGATGACACCATTACTGTTTGACCAAAATTAAACTACTTTGCCCTGTATTACTAGTTACCACAAACACAAAACAAAAAAACCACGTGTGTAAGAGCAAGGAGCATAGGCCACATGAGTAGAATGGGGAAAGGCATCCTGAAAGCAGTTACTTGAATAGAGACCTAAAGTAATATAAGTGAGGAATTTTGAGGCAAAGGATTTCTGGAAGTATAGATGGATACAGAAGTAGGTTTCAGTAAGAAAAGTGTGAGAATCAAGAGGCAGATACCAGCATCAGAGGAGAGGAAGGTGAGAATTTGAGACAGAAGTACATGGTGCCTGGCATGTTTACGGCACAGAGGGAGGGCAGGAAATCAGGTCTTAAATGAAGGATTCAGGCTAGTTTTCAAAGGATGGTCAGGATTCAGGTGGAGAGGGAAGGAAAGTAAAGACCTAAGAAGCAGGTGCTCCCCTAACCACCATTCATTCATCTAAAAAGGTAAGAGCTGAGAGACAATACTGAGATTCCTTCAGCCAAATGAATCAGTGCAAGGAATCACAATGCTGACTCACTACATGATATTCTAATAGTGATACGCAAGTTGCAAGCGATGCAAAATACAAGACACACAGTAAGACAAGAACACAATGAGCTAGGCAGAAACCTAAGGAAGAGTCAGAAAACACATTCACAACTGCCTTGCTCATTGCAGCCTCTTCACTGACCATCTCCTTACCTACACCATGAAGGCAAGATTACACTAAAGGCTGGTGGTTCACTGCAGTATTGGCACTATTCCCTGTAGGAACTGCAGTTTACAGATGCAGCAATGTTTAGTGCTATATTCTTTGCTCATTTGATAAGATAAAAGCATGATACTAACTAAAAGAGCTTAGAATGTGAATGTTAAATAAAAATTGTAACAAGTGGCAGCCTCTGCAACACTGCTATATGGGAAACATTTTTGCCCCATTTTCACCAGAATGAAACTCCAGGAAGAGTTTGGGAGGAATCAGCCAGATCCAACACAGCAACAAATGCTGCACCAGCCTGAAATAGATACACGCTGCTACCTTGAGCTTTATCGTGTATCTATAAACGCTGCATGATGCACCCAAAAGAGGAAATAGAGGGGGCAAGAAAAAAAAATAAAAAAGAAGAGACAACCACAAACAAAAACCCAGTAAGAAACACTAGTCCTCCAGCTCATATGCATCTCAGAACCTAAGAAAAAAACTGAATTACCTAAAATGTTTTGTTCAACGGTGGAATAACAATCTTCCTGTAGCATCAGAAAATGTCTATTCCAATTTCAACCTACTGCAAGATTTTTAACTCAACTTCTGCAACAGCAAGCAAATTACAATGCAAGTGGTATTTCAGAAAATGAAGATACAAGAACATTCTGTAGAGAACAGAGAAATGAGTATCATACCTACCAGGTTTGAATGTAATTAGACAGGATCGGTTTGTGCAAGTGCCCTCTGGGAATATCATTATCTTGAAGTAAAAGAAAAGTTGACTTTTAAGAACTATTTCAATGTGGGTTTATTTATAAACACATCTTTTCAAAGCTGACATTAACTGATTACAGCAAAACTTTTTTCAGGGAAAACCAGTTCAGTTAAAGAAAAAATGGTGCTCAATAAAGAAGACAAGTAAAGTTCTACCTTAACTGCAAAAATATTTTTTTTATCTGCGAACTTGCCTCTTTCTTGCCCTTCAATTATAACTATTTATTGGAACACTGACAGTGACTCGAAACGCTTGTTTAGCGTAAAAGCATTTTCACCAAAGGGTTTGGTACTGGCAAAAATATCATATTCTGTCTTGCACCAAAACAAAATTCCTGCTCCCAGGCTACCTGCTCTCAGACTAAGAAAAGATTGACAGTTATTTTCTTTTTGCTATTGCTTGGCATGTGCACAGATGTCCAAACGACAGAGGCTGAACATACCTAAATAGAATTCTAACGAAACAAAAAAATGTTCAAGTTGACCTGAATTCAGCACAAGAGAGTAGATTGTAAACAAATAAAAAACCTCGAACCCCACCCACATCATAAGGGGACAAAGCAATGGACTAGAATTAACATTACTAGTTTTACTACCCATTCTGGTACTAGCTTGTTTGAAATCTCATGATGAAACTCACGATGCAAAATCTACTATCACCTGTCACATTTTTATAGCTGTTTACAATGTTTCTGCAGTCCAGTATGCAGGGATAACCACTGTAAGTAGCAACAATGCCATACTTTCATCATGTGGTCCAATAGAGATGGCTTGGGCAATTGGAACATCCAAATTGCATTGGCTGTCTTGCCCAGAATCGCATCTCCGACAATGACAGTATGCCAAAAATCTTCCAGTGTCAAAGAACACACAATACTTCCCCAGGTATTCTGCTGAGCACCTGATTGTTTTCTCCTTAGAGGACTTTCTAAACCTGCTGTGGTCTGTCCATTTAGTACCACTTAATAGAGCTGTCTTCCCATGTACTTACCCAGCTCCCCTTGAAACACAATGCCATGAGAAACAGATAAGTATCATACATGGTATCTTCTAGAGAGGATGGGGAAAACTTCACCCCCCCACACACCCACATCCCCTCCCCAAACCATCTAAAGCCAACCACAATGAAAAAAGTAAACTGCATATCCAAAGCCTGGAAATGCCAAATACCATGTGTCACACAGTAGCAGAATACAGTACCTGTGGCCATTTACCATCAGACTGAGCACGCCTCTTGATCTCTTCAACAGTTTTCCTGCGAGAATCCTGGTCTGACCGAGACACAAATACTGGTCGGATGTATTTGATTAGAGCTGAAGAGGAGGAAAAACAAAAACAAGCAAACCAGCTTTTATTTCCTCTTTGCTTGAAAAAGATTCCCCTTGCTCCCCACCTAGTAGTCCTCTGGATAAAAATTTTGGCAGAAGAACATAACTACTTTACTATATTACATTGCGAACTTAAATACTCAGCTGAATTACTGCAACTTCATTGAAATATTTTCATGAATTCCTGTGAGGAAACCATTTTTGCAATTTTGGCACTTTGTACTTGTTCAACTTTTAATAGACCAATACACATACAACACAGAATATAAAACATGATTGTGCATATTATGTACAGTTTTCTGCAACAACGTAACTGTGGCCATCTATAGGCTATTTCTTCCTGCGACAAACATAACAAAATCTACAGTCACCCCAACCCAGCAAAGCTGTAGGAATCTCTAAGTGCTTCCAAAAGACATCCCATGGGTCAGACTGTTACTCTCTTTAGAGAGTCTTCTGTCTTCTATGATAGCTCAGGTTCACTAAAGGTGCATCACCAAAGATATTCCATACACTGATGCTATTTTTTTTGTGAGGAACTGGTATCATCAAAAGTAAAAAGCATGCTTATTTTCTTGGCTGTCACCTACGTGTCTTTTCCTTATACCAGATGAGTTAGACTTCAGACATCCTCTTCCTGGCTCAGTGGGAAACATCTTGGACATAGCCAGACACAAAATGAACAGGAGCAAAAATCAGAAATCAATCTACAATATCCTCTCCATGCCATCCTGTCACAAGGACAACTTTCAAAATAAGTAGCATATACAGCTTTTTTTTTTCCAGCAGTGTCCAAAATCACTACAAGAGAAGCATCTGCTTCATGCTTTTATTTAAGCAGGTTGCCTTCAAATACTTTTTAATCTTTTTTGTGTCTTGTAATTTTATTTGGAGGTTCAAGAGTCACTAAAACATTAGCTATTCGATTTGCCAAAAAAAATAAAAATACAGTTTTCCTGTTCCAACCACTGTGAGATGAGTTCACTGACACCAGTTGTATAATCTTCTTTTGTCAAGGATAGACTTGCTGCGTTAATGGATCAGCCAGTGCTTAAAGCATGAAGGAAAAACAGCATAAGGAATTACAGCCCTATACTCAGCAAAAGCTGCTGGTTCTGGTGTTATCCCACTGGCAGTTTAGCCAGCAACTCACCAAAATCCTTCTATGGCTCTGAGAAACTAATCCATCAAACCTTACAGCAAGTTCTCAAACATCCAGCCAGTCTCTGAAATCCTGCTTTTACCCCACAAGTTGCCAAAGCTTAGGAGACAGTATATCAGAGAAAAGTTTTCTTACTCTTGCACTTGGCCCTATGTGCCTGCTCTTAGGCAGTATCTATAGCACAACGCTTTCTAGGGGAGTGAAGATCATCATGGATGGGGCAGCTGGAGTTATTGCTGAAGGAAGGTTAAAAAAACAAACAAAAAAGTGCCCCAAAACAAACCACAAAAGAATACACAAAAACAATCAGGGGAAAAAAAACCCCAAGCAAAGCAAAAAACCACCACCACAGAACAAGCAATAAAAATGGCAAGGGAAACCTTACTTGGTAGCCTAATTGTTTATTTCGTTTCTTAGTGATGCCACCCCTGAGTTTGCCCTGCTGTTGCAATTTACTATTCCATAGCAAAACCATCATCGAGCAAAAGAAAGCAAAAGACTCAAACATCCCCAGCCTCCACCATGAAGTTTCTTTTACATTAGACCCTAATGACGAAATTCGGGTTACTTCAGGCCAAGGAATGAACAAGATAAATCCAGAGCTCCAAGGCTCTTATCTGAGGAAATGCTTCAAAAGCAGGGTCTTCTTTATAATACAGGACAGAAACATCAGACCTCAGTAGCACCATCTGTATCTCAAAAACTGTATCTCAAAGTAGCGCTAGCCCGGGAGCTTTACTGTTACAACCTTCCCAAAAACCAAGCTGCTGCAATGTTACCAAGCTCCTAAGTAACACATGGTAAATTATCTTACAAATTACCAGCACCACAAACAACAACACACCCACATGCAAAGAAAAACTATTATGGTGTGCTGAAAAACAACAGTGAAAACTGAAAGCTTTGTTTCCTACGAATTTGTCCTGCCTGCTCAATTATATGACACAAAATAGGCTTCAAGGTAATTTAATTTCTTTTCTCATGGTTCTAATGGTATTTTCACACAGATTGCAGAAATTAGTACCTTTTAAACAATCTGCTTTCCTTCAAATATGTGTGAAGACATCACTGTTATAACTCATCACATCAAATCTTAGCCTAATAGACAGGGTGGTCTTCTTAAGACTTACTTCATTAGAGAACAGACTAAAAAGCTAACAGAATTCTTGTTTTAATATTAAACAGCAGCTGAAGATCCTATAACACACCAACCACCAGGGCCGTAGTGGTTAAGTCCAACAATTTCAAGTGAAATTGAAACTCTCAGTCATCGGTAAGAAACTGAAAGTACACACCAAGGGAAGGGCTAGCTCTGTACTGCCTTTCCTCATATACTCTTAACCACTTTTGAAAACAGAGCTCAAGGTTACACAGACCTTTACTCTAACCATGCATTTTCATGTTCAATAAATATACAGAAATCAGAAAATTCAAAAGCTGTACCAAGTCGATCTGTGCAAGAAACAGTCAGGAGCAGGGCCAAAGGTCAGAAAAGAGAAGCTGAGAAACATACCAAATAGGCAGACAAGATGAGACTGAGGTCAGAAGCCAAGTCGAAGCATAGGGAGGTTTGGAGACAGCACCATAAGGTAGTATGTGATGCAAGGAACAGGGAAGACTAGACCAAAGTCAGGCCAGGAGCAAAAAAGCAGCATGCATGAAAATGCTCCAGACAGCTGGCATACTGAGCAACTAAAAGAAACCACCAGAACTGGCAATATGCTTAACAAACAAAACAATCATATCCTTCTCTGCTCAGCAATTTACCTGTCCAAGACTGTAAACAGGTAGTGAAGATCACAGCTCAAGTACTCAGAGATCCTGAAAAATGTGCTTGCCCCTCACTCCATCAAAACCACGTTATCAATTCTAGCAGGCAATGACAGACAATCCCTCAATTCACAAAATCGACCTTGCCAGTGTGATTATTCCAGCTTTTTCTCTAGCAATGTCAGCCCTACTTCATCTAGTCACTCTCATTCCCAACTTCAGATGATTACAAGCAGTCCTGAGGACAGCTGACATGCTGTACTCCACCTTCTTAGGCAGATGCTTGCAATTTAAACAGTACTGCCAGTAATTCATCAGCACCTCTGCCTTGCAGGGCAGCCAGAATGCCACAGATAAGCTAACCAACTGAAAGTTGCTGTAGCACAAAACAGCCTTTTTTTTTTTTAAGAGGACCTGCAAAAATTCAGTATTCCTTTAATTAATTGCAGGGTGGCAGCTTCAACTGATTTCAGAACCGCAACTCCAATATAATCAATTTAAGCACCAGATGAATGCATTAGCAAAAAAACCACCACTTTTTGGGTTTTTTTTTCCTGATGAGCTGAATAAACACAGTGGGAGTCAATGAACTTCTTAGGACAACAGTGGGGGAAAAAATTATTTCACCTATTTCCAGTAAACCTTGTTTCAAATCCGGACATGAAGTGCTACATAACATACAATAGCAGAAAGTATTGTTACAAACCATTTAGATTAGGCTTGACAGTTACAACCATGTAGCAGATAAAGCTACACTGGGAACATCACCATTGGTTCTACAAGGCATCAGAGAATGCAGAAAGCAATGCAATGGAGCACTATATGCAGCTCTTCTAAAATGTATCCATACACACATTTTTGAGTAGGCAGTAACATTTCCATCACTGTAGAATTAGCATCAAATTGACAAAATCGGCTGCAAGAGTAGAGAATGCTGAACCTGAGGCTCTCACTTGGCCTTTCTTCTGAACAACACAAAATCCCGGGACATGTGTTGCTCTGACACCCTGAGATGGCAATCTACAGAGGCACTACAACTGGCTCTGGTTGCATTTAACATGTTGGTAAGCTGTACATGTAGCCTTGCAGTAAGATATTTATTTACAGTATTTACTCCTTGATTCTTTCTACTATGGAAAAAATACAGATTATTTTTCTAACAGCAGTTGCCCTCTTGTGCATTCTGTATTTAGGGTTAGTAAGGTTCAGGAATAAAATTACTTCCTACGTATATTGACACATAGACCTCAATAATGGAAAAAACTCAAGCCCTCACACCCCAAATACACAAAGTTCTATCAATGCACAAAACTCAAATCAACGTTTTCCACTTGGAGTTATATTGTTCTTACAGAAATAGTGTTATTGTAGTCATGGTACTCTACATGAAATTTGTAAAGTTATCGGTAGTATCTTCTTAGAGTAGCAACTACACACAGAAATGCATGTTTTTTTGACTCAAATCTGAACCAACCACTGAAGCTAAATGCATGTCAAGAAGAACTTCTCCAAGTCTGACTAAACGCTTAGCAGATGCACCACCTGACAGAAGGGATAGCAAATATTCCTGGTATAGAGGCAGTGTTAATGGGAAAATTCTTCCCCCTCTTTCCAAAGAGAAAGGCAAGAAACATGCAGTCTAGTCTGTAGCACAAGTAGTGGGAGACAAATAATCAGTGTTCTCAAACTTCAACAGAAGTAAACTCTGTGGTATTTGGGTTGGTCTTTCAAAATGGAATCTATTTCCTTTAAGGACTTCTTGAGGGACAAAGACTTTTTGATATCGCAGAGATTGCTGTTTGCTCTCACACCTGCAGTACCTGTATGAGGGCATGGTTGTATGTTTTAGCTTTCTGCTGCCAGTCTAAGAACTATTTAAGGCAGGCAGTAGTGTTGGTTTGCAGGTTTCCTATATACTGTAGTTTCTATCTTCCCTAAATGATATTAACTAGCATGCTTTTAAAAAAGTGATGGTGGTTTAGGCATTCCATAGCAGTTTAAAGAAGAAGTAATTGTTACTGAATTTTCCAGGACTCCAACCCAAATAATAAAGGCATACCTATGATGCATAGGTGACAGTGCAACTATTCTATGTCTTTCCAAGAGAGTTCCTTTGAGGACTGAAATCTGGCAGGACCATCTGTGTGTCCACAGCCTGGAGGAAACATTGACTTTTCAAATGTAAGTTTAAAGGACAGGATGACATGGATAGGCTTGGCAACAATTTTGAGATGCTCCTCAGAACTGGGGAGCTCATTAATGTACTCAAGGCAGGCTACAATGCCAACATAACATAGCATGTTACCATTCATCATCCTTAAACCTTAGTGTTTAAGCTGCTGATTTACAATGTGTAAAGAGAAGAAATCTGTGATGCCTTCACCTTAGAGCAGGTTTTTCCAAAAGGGGTTTAAGGACTGTTTTGATAAATCTCAGAAGTATTTGAATGCAAGATTCTCACTGAAGAACTAAGAGTCTACCACAATTCTCTTCCTTGAATGCTCTGGAAAGGATGGGGGGGGCACTTGAGGTAAAGGACTGAAGGATTAGGTTGCATAACAGAGCTGATGACTAAGTTGGCATCATTTAAGTTTTGAGATGATAACATACTCTACTACCACGGCATAAATATTTCCAACTGTATTATTTCTTTCTTGTCTGTTAGTCAACATGCTTGAGAAAGACCTGCAACTCACCTCCAAAAGATGAGCTTGAACAATAAAATCCTAAGTTACTAGATGTGGAAAAAACCACCCACAATAGAATCGATAGTTTTTACAGCACAGTATGATTCTCCCTTGCTATATAGCTCTTCTGTATTCTGCCAAGTAGAAATTACCTCCTTCCCCTTTATAAACTTAAGCTAACATATCCCCCATTCATTACACAGGTACCAACCCCCTCTCCTTTTGAGCGGGTGAGGTTACAGATGTTGAGAAGTTGTTTAAACTTTAAATTAACTTATCACCTTAAATTTAGCTTCTAAAAGTTCAGACCATTAAAGATGTTCAAATCACAAAAGTGGTCCAACAAATTCCCCATCAACTCATTTACTGACAAATCCCTTTTCCTTTTTATGGAAGCATTTCTGCAGTAGCACTGATCACTTCAGCAACCAAAAAGAATGAACATTCTGACCTCTCTGAGTTAAATTCTAGATGAATGTGTAGAGTGTTGACAATTCACCAGCCAATCCAAGAAAAACATAAGCACCTTTCCACAGATAGCATAAGAGAAATATCAATGGTCCAATAAAGGGAAATATATTTTGGTGTGTATGCATGGAGAGATGTGTAAATAACATCAGAATTAAAATACTAGATCAGAAAACCTCTTTGAAGCACCAAAATAAATAAATCAGAACTTCACTCCACTGTAAAGTTTTCACTAATTTCTAAGCTGAACTAACCAATACAGTGATTGCTTACCACTCTGTTAAGGTCCGTTTACTTAAACAATACAAACTGCTGTAATTATCATTGCTCATATAAAGGTGTTCCTCTAAAAACAAAAACGTTTTTTGAACTCCGAATCCCAGTTACAACCTTTGCTATGCCTCATTTCTGTGTCATTTTTCTGAATGCTTCATGAGGGACTACATAACTTTTGTGGCTGCATAACATAAAGCAAATGCAGCTATACAGGACAAAACACTCCTTTATTTGACTGCACTGTACATTCCAGTTATTACTGGCCATCAAATGACTACATGTTTTCTGTTTTTCTGTAACTAGTTTTACTCACACATGAACAAAATCAAGCAAATAATTTTTCAAGCATATTGCAGTAAGTCTAGACTTTCAAAGGAATTCTTTAAAAGTTACCTCACAAGGTATATAGAAAATAGCTTGGACTACTCAATCTACATTATTTGTGTTACACCAAGTGAAACTACAACCTCCATACCCCTACAGATTCTCAAGCTTCCCCACTGGTTCCCATTGAATCTACTGCATGGGATAGTTAAGTAGCCACTGCAGCATCTGTCAAACGCCATTGTGCCATTTCATCACATTTCAGCAGCATAACATGACCTGGAGTTTCCTCATCTAGTTTGTGTCCTCCATACCATCTACCTTCAAGTCAAAGGGAGTTCTGCACAGACTACTTTATTTTGCTGACCCAGCAATTATTAAACAGTCAGACCCACCTGAGAAAGAAGATAAATCTGCCCCTGCTTCTATATCTGGACTGCTCCTAAAGCCTAAGTTGGCCTGGATACACCTATGCAGTACAGGAGTGCCAACATACTGTCTCACAACAGTACTTCTTTCAGTAGTGGACAAGGGAGTTCAATCTACTTTGGTTTTCACATTATGCTTGTTTGCATACATTTGTTTTTAAAAACACCCATCTACACCCTTTTTGTTCAAAGCATCTATTCATTTTACGTGGATTTTTCACTGCCACAAACATTAAAATTCTATTAGTCAGATACTCAGTGAAATTGAGATACAATTACAGTTCTGGCCTGAGCTTTACCTGACACAGGCAGACCTTTATATCACGACATTCCCTACATGAAGCTTCCATATGTAACCACTCACCATTTGTGGCCATGTCTCTGCTTCTGTTTTTGAAACATTGATAATGAAAGTTTAGAAGGATGTCAACACCAGGAGCCTGATTCCACTTACTTGTAAAGGAAGTCAAAGCCTTTGTTTAGACTTTAAAATGAAAGAGTCCTAACCAAGGCCAAAGTATAGTCTTTTGTCATTTCTGGATTATCCTTAAAATCTGTGTAATGAGACACAGGATGATTCTTTGAACTTCACTGTTTGTTAAACTCACAACATGGCGGGTTTCTCCAAAATGCAACCAAACCAACAGACTTTGGTTAGAAGCCTACAAGCCCAAAAGCTTATACAGTTTTATTTTGGTACATCCACACCAAAAAAAATCAGAGATCTCTCTCAAACGTATGTAAGAATTTACATTAATAATTCCAAAAATAGCATTGAAACACTACTGACTCAGGCATCTGCTTTTCTTATGACTAAATCTGGGTGCACAACAATGTGTTTTTGCTCATCTCTCACACCCTGCCTGAAACAAACTCATGAATCCATGAAGGATTAGCGGCACTCCCTCAAGGCAGGGTACCATTCAGAGCAGACAACATTCCTAAAACACATTTCTGGGATGGTACCCCAACTCACACTAAGTAAGAAGTCTTGCTGCACCTTTCTCTCTAGCATCAGTCTTCGCTTTTATAGCTCCATCCTAACTTGCTTTTCTATCCGTCAGGTCTTAAAATATTGCAATTCCATGGCAAATGTAACCATGAGTTCTGTAGGATTGCTTTGACTTCATACAATGATTCAACCTTGGAGAAACTGGAAAAGGAGTAACATCCCCCACCAATATTTTTTTCTATTGACATTCACAGTAGACCAGTAAAAAAAAAAAAAAATTCACCATATATTATAGCAAAATTTTCTTTGTGTTTCAGGCCTTTTCATACACAGTCAGTGAACTTCCTAAGCAATCATTTTTATTGTTCTTGAAAAAATAAGTATCTACCAACTTACTTCCCCAAACAGGAATGTCTTTGCTCTCTGCTTTCATCACAATGGAGGCAAAGGTCATAGTTACTGGAATGGCATCAAAGTAGGAAGAATGGGGAGCCACAGTTAATATTGCTGCTTCCGCCGGCAATGCTCGTCTGCCTTTTACATTTATCCAGTGGAATCCACCAGCAAGCCACATCATTCTCATGATTGCTTTCAGCAAAACATCCACTATCCTGTAAAGAGTTGAGAAAACAAGTTATGCTGCCACAGGAACACCTTAAAATAATGAAAAGAGAAACATGACAAACTGAATACGCATGACAAAAGTACGTATAGGATATGATGCTTAAAACAGAGCTGGAACACTACACAGACATTGTTTTTCTCTTCCTCAGCAGATTTAAGAGGAATTTCAATACAAGCTGTCATTCAATTTCATTTTATACCTGAATATTAATACATTTTAATCACAGTCAGATTGGTATTTATCATTTAATTAGTTTTAATTCAACTGTGACTGTTGACTTTCTTCTATACAATGCCTAATAATGTTTTCTTAGTAACATCTAAAAAAGTCTAATAAACTGAGTGCTGAAAAAATGCTATTAGAATATTGCTAGAATGCAATATCCCTGATTCTTGGGTTTGAGCTTACCCAAACAAAACAGTGGAGAAATGTAGGTCAGAGATTCTCAAATACGGGAATGACTACAGAACACACATGAGAGCTCTAGAAATATTTTACTTTCTTCCTTTTTCCCCCGCATCTCCTCCTGAAGTGATTTGGGGGGTTTGTTTCTTTTGGGTTTTTTCTGTTTGTGGGGTTTTGAGGTTTGTTTCTGTGGAGTTTTGTTTGTCTGTTTGGGTTTTTTAAATGACAGTGATGAAAAGAAACTTTGAATCAACAGAATATAAAACCCAAACAACCATGGATCGTTACACTTACAGGGACTGGAGGCTGGAGAGCAGGGTGACACTGAAAACTGGATTAAATGGCAGAGGGACAATCTAAAAAGATTCAAAATAACTGCATGCAAGACTGAAGGCAGTCCATGATTCCTTTAGTTATTATACTGATATCACTCCAAATACCTCTGTGGCTCTCAACCTCCTTCCCTCCTGTGATGCAATACACAATCAGCTTCCCTCACACTAGTGCCAGCTCCTAATTTTAAAGTTTTCTACAGAAGAGGTGATATACTCCTCCTTTCTTTCTCCTCAAATGGCAGCTTTCATGGATGGGTGAACACTGTCTTATAGTCTACTTTAATTAGCATTCCAGTATCAAAGCAAGCATAGACTTCTAATAAGCACCAAAGTATGGGGCAAGCCCTCAGGGAATCAACACAAGTTTTGTCAATTCATCACTGCATAGTAAACAATGGTGTGAAGCAGTTTAAAACAACAATTTAGAATATGAAACCTGGGCACGTTCCACAGAGTCAATCTTCATAACCAGAAGTTAACATTACAGGAATAAATGAAATTGAAAGATGCCATAATGAAAGTTCACACTACATCCTCAATAAAGATAAGAAGCCAGAGATGGGCAGTTTTTTTCCTGTAATTCTTGGGTCACCTAGTAAATCAAACAAACAGTTGAGGTACTTTTAGTTTCCCATCTGAGGAAGGTGTTTAATAATTTTTATATTTTTATTTTGAGAGAAAAGCAGGTGTCTGAGACAGACATGAGATATTTCCCATCTTCTCTGCTTTAAACTTCAAACTAAATGATTCTCTTAGTATTTCACCACTTTGGTGACTCACTTTCGCCACCAGGAGAGGGGTTTTTCAAGCTCTTGCTCGTCAGATCCCATTGAAGCAATGAATGCAAAAGGCCAGGCCAGCAGCATCATAAAAGCAGCAAAAAAGAGTCGGATAGGAAACAGAGTCAAGGTCATGAAGGCAATCTGCAAAATAATAATAAGGCATTATTCCAACACAATCATGGACTGAAAAAGTTGACGATGCCTAGAAACTGATATGAAGTCTTAACATGAAAATACTCAACGTTAAGACCAGCAGAGCATGTGTCAATTCCAAACAAATAACTGTGGTGCATGTGTAACAATTTTTTATTCACCAATCTTAATTATAGCTGAAATACAACACGCTCTTTAAAGCTCATGAAGTCTTAGCTTTCCACTCTTCTGACCCCATGTTTGTCAGTAAATACCACTGCATACTCTTTTCCCTTTCTGCAGCCTCACATTAAGCAAATATTTAGCATGGGTGTGTTGCAAATCTTACTGCACTACAGAGAAGTCAGTCCATCACAGCAACTCCCAGACAGTGATGTACACTTCAGCAGTGTTCATTCACGTGGCAATACAGGATGCAACCTGGAAAACTCTTCCAGGACAGGGCAGGCACCACTTCCTCTGTGGTATGTTCTTGAAACCAGAAGCTGTGGAGAACACTGTACAGAGACCTCTGGACAAACACCCAGACACACATGAGAGTTTAAATTCCAGGTCTGTGCTAACAGGCACAACTCTCTGGAAAGCAGAGGTTTTCAAGAAGGTATCCTCCTCTGGGAAGCTGCAGTGAAGACAATTGCTTCTACACCTCCTCCCAGCACTCTAGTTCTCAGAGAGTCAACCAGACCTCTTCCTTCAACTTTGGTGAAAAAAAGTCATGCTGGAACTTCTTCCATAGACTTTTGAAGAACTCTCCCTTCTCTAAGTTGTTTGCAGCTGTTTCCAACTGTCCTCCAGAGAACACAATCTGTGCAGTAATCCACTGGCTCCAGGAAACAGTTCCAGGGGCCAAGTCCCATCTTTCTCCCTCAGAGGACAGGAAGAAAGAAAAAAGCTCTTAAAATGGAGGAGAGAACAGCCTCAGATCACTAGCTATGTGAGAGAGGGAACTGAAAACTCTTTGAAGCCGACTGAGACAGCACCAATGTTCCTCAGGCTGTACAATGGGTGCTAACAGAAGATAAAGATGACACTATGAAACAGAAGGGGCATGTAAAGAGAATTCAAAAGTAAATACACTACATATTCACAGGTGTACCAGATAAGGTTAAAAAAAAGACACTTTTCAGCATCACAAAAGATGGGCAAGGATGAGTAACCAGGCATAAGGTGCTGTCTTGTGTTGTGCTTAGTCTGATGCATCTCATACTGCTCGGAAAGCTTTACTCATATTCTTCTCTTTCCTGATGCAGATCCAGTCATCATGCAGCTCAGTTTCCCACTGATGAGTTCCTGTTTCCTCACACTTCCCAAAACAACTCAACAACCAACTCACACTGTAACTGCACAAATCTGTAGATCTAGCATAGGGGCAGGGAACACACAGCAGGAGAAAAGCCCAAGACACTAGTTTCAAACCCTAAACTACCAGCCCGCTGCAATGCTGAATTTTACAGTGATGGGTCAGACTGGAAGCATCATCTCATAACTCCCCCCAAAATAGGACTCCAGTCCCTGGACGGACTGCTTTAGTATGCAGAACTGAAAGAAAAAGCAATTTTTTCCCCACAGACAGGCTAGTTTCCCAGGTGAACCAGTAAAACTTCATGAACGGAAATGGTCAGATGAGCACTGAAGTTATAGCAACTCACTCAACCCTGCATCCATAGACAAATGGCAGCAAATAGGGAAGCATTCATCTGCAAACTGGAGATGAGAGAGCAGCTGCCTTCCAAGGTCATAAAATGAGAAGGACCAGACACCAATAAAATAAGGGAAGCAAAATGCTGGTGAGGACACAGTCCTCTGGGATTCACACTCCCTTACTCCCATTTGTCAAAGTCTCCTCCTCAACAAGGGAAGAGCAGAATGGCAGGTGACTGGTGGTGAGCTACTCTATCCCTTGCATCTCTGTAGCAATCCGCTGTATCAAGATCATTTTAGTGCCACATCACAGAATGGAAGCAGTAGTTGCATCCATCAAGTAATGAAAGATGGCATAAATGTGCAGAAAGGGCCTCTTAGTCTTCCAGAGACAGCAGTAGCGGTAAAAGTCAGCAAGAACCAAGTGCACCAAATAATACACAGGGTCTGGCTGTGACACCTGGCTCTTTTTAGCAGGCAGTAGTGCAGTACTTGTCCACACAAGAAATTTAGTAGGAGAGTTTAGCCCCTGAATGTTAGGAATCAAGAAAGACACTAACATTTGAAAAGTATTTCAGTCTACATCTACATTAAGACATCTTCCTGCATAAGAAAGCTTCTAACCAGTAAAACTTATGTGCTGTAATAGTGTACATAGAAAAGGGGAGAAGATCCTGTCCTTGCTGGCCACTGTCAGAGATCAGAATACAGGAGATGTACACTCCAGGTCTGACCTTGTATAGACGTCTTACTTCGGTGATTACATTTCTACATACTTAGGACATTCACCCAGACATGTCTTCTATAAAATTACAAATTCTGTCTGGTAATAAGTCATATGTAAACACCTATGCTTTGAGATACATTAAAAAACAACCCTAAAGGTCCACCTGGAGTTGTACCTTGGGAAGGTTCAGGTCATGACTAAAAATCTCAAAGAGGGGTTTGACTGCAGCTTATTTAACATTTGCTGGTCTACGGGATTCTACTTAGTTTTTTGGAAGTTGCAGTCTATAATGTTAAAGTCCCATCGGCAGCAGAAAGGGAGAGGATGGTTTTACAGCTTGTAACAGAAGGCTGCCCTGGGAAACTGATCTCCACTCTTCCATCAGAAGGGCTTCAATCTGATGTAAGGCAAGTCACTTAAACTAAATAGGTATCATATGTTCTCCTTGTTTACCGACTCTGCATTCAGATTTGAGTATGAACTCACAGTGAAGGTATAAAATACAAACCTAAGTCCCTTTTAAGTTCTCCAAAACACACCGAGCATTGTTTCTACTTCTGTAGGTCTGTTTCCTGTCTTGAAATTCACTATCATACTTCTCATGCACAGAGAATCTGACAAAAATGCAACTTTGAAATTAGCGATGCAGTGAGAAATGTCACTAAAAAACAGTTCATTCACAACATTTCTGTGACTTGCTGCAAAGTAATGGTCACATACTAAAAAAGAAAATAATATTTGACGTGGTAGAGGTTTTGATTTTTTTAAAAAATATATCAGATAGAGACTACATCCTGCAGCACACTTATCTCTATCACCATCCCTATAGTTCAACTCACCCAAGATGGCACTCAAGAAGCTAGGAATTCATCCCTCAATAATTCTCCCAATGCCTGCTTTCCCACTCTGCAAGTTCCCTAGTTGACACCTTCAGTCAGATAAATACAGGAGTAGAAATTTTCATGTGCAACTAAGCCAATCTAACAGATCATTGCTGCCAAAGAGAGTTGTCTTGTTCACTCTCTCCTCAATCCTCCCTTTGAGTCAGCCCTAGCACTTATGTGAGCTTGCAATGAGCCAATCTAGCTCATTAGTGAGAGGAAAAAAAGCCATTCCAGCAAAAGAAAACAATCAGAACACAGAAAAACACAATGATATTCTGGTTTAATGAGCCAAATCAGCTCACCAAGGCACCAAATGAACACCAGCATTGGTGAAATAAAAGGGCCAGAAACACTGGAAGTAAGGAAAACAGCATTGTACTGTGTTTTTAAGCAGCAGGGAAACAAACCTATGGACACTTAGTGACAGCTCTGGTAATGCTTCTGCCTGTTCTGCAGTACTAACTAGAATCCAGAGCTTTGACTTATGTGATAGGTGCCCAGAAGATGTTAGTATGAACAAAATTCATGGTTAATGAAATCATGTTTCTCCAAGAAAGGATGTCTATTATAGCACTGAAATAAAACAGGGAGCTTCAAAAATAACCCCCACTGTTACCCTCAGATCAGAGCAAAATAGCCATCATTTCTACAGGAAGAATGAGACTCAGTTCTGAAATAGCCTTACTGCTTTTACGCCCCTGTAATCTCCCAGTATTTATAAAGCCAATAAAAGATGACGTGAACAATTCCTTGAGAGACTGATTTCTTTTTGCTGCTGTTTTTCCTCTTCATGGTTGTGTTGCCCCCTTACTTTCTCCCTTTTTTTCACTCCCACAGTTTCAGGCTGAAATGTGCTAAAATGCATTTACTTTTGAGATGTATTAGTGAGCAATAAAGCTAATCTAACCTCTTGCAGAGTGCAGGACAATGTGGTAGCAAAGAGACTGAGGCTATCTGGTAGACCATCAGCAACAGGCCATCAAAGCAGTCTTGACTCCCAGTCCCCTGTGCTCCCTACTTCTTGTACCTATGTTCCTAACCTTACTCAACAGGCTTTGCAATCCTACAAGTCCCCTGCTAGATTCACAGGCCAGGCAGAAAAGCCTGTGACACAATATGTGCCTACAGCTGAACAGGAAGTGAGTTCAGCTGTACTAGTTCACACCGAACCCTCTGTAACTGGCCAAGACTGTATGGAAGAAAACACACACTGCTGTAATTCACTGCAAAGCAGCCTCCCCGTTCAAGAAGTCTCATTTCTGGAACAGCAGCATTTCTCACAAGTGGAACATTTCCACAGCTCTTCTTTAACGGCCTCTGTCTCAAGCACAACTTGCAATCGGTGAAGAGGCTGGAAAAGCATGATTAAGGCAAAGAAGAAAATCTATCACAGTTTTGTATGGCAGCTTGTGTGCTTTTTCCTCATGCACAACTGCAAAAATAAGACAGCTAGAAAGGCTGAGTTAAAGAACTCTGTGCCACTGACCATCGATAAAAGATTGCTTGCTAAAGCAGCAAGACATACTCTTTGGTGAGGAGGCTATTCATTTGGTCTGCACACTGTAAAAACCCTACAGAGCTTTAAACACATCTTGCAGCTTTCATTGAAAACAACAAATCTTTGAAATCCATTGGGAAAGCTCACGTCTCAGATGTACAGAGCAGCCCATACAGAAGGCAGGTATGTTCTACGACCAGTCATTTCACTGAGGAAGCACCTAAAGTTCTCT